ACGCAAGTCCAATGACCTTCTTTCGTCCAAAAATGTCTGCGAGAGGACCGCTACCTAACGCACCAACAACAGCTCTGTAAAGACGTGGTTAGCATACCCCCAAGATTGCTCATGGTGAACAACAATGCGAGATCACTTACGAAGCAATAGGTGCGCCGTTGAAGGCAGACTGCCATTTCGTATCCAAGACATATGAACCCTCAAATTCATGGCCAAAGTCCTTTCGGAATTCTGGGATACTCAAGATGCTGCCGCCTGCCTGGTTCTCAAACGCCAGGACTAGGACACACCACACGGCGTAGACGCACCAGAAACACGCTTTGGGGTACTTCTTTAACGACTCAAACTTTCCGAGCTCGTGCTCCTCCTGGTTTCCCAGATTGGCGAGTTGGGCCTGACCTTCGCTGGGGTGCTCAAGGTGGTCGGCATTGTCTTTCTTCTCGGCATCGACCATCGTGACTGGGTTTCTTTTGGTGGAAAATTCAGACCTAAAACGAAATAAACCCAAAAAGAGAAGAATCAAAACGACTAAGAATCGATTCGGATTCAAGCTCAAAGAGGCTGAAGTCTAAGGGTAACGCCAAGATGCAGGACAAGGCTCGAAATTGCAACCATCACGGGCTCTAGCGAGTCCTTATAAGGCAAAGCCGCAACACACAAAGGGTTGAGACTAAACTCGTAAGTACGAATGGGCCAACCCGAATGGTCCCACGCCGTCATCATGGAAACAGGCACACCAGAAATCTGGAACCTCGGGGGAATGACACGACGGTGGATCCGGGGTGTTGCCAGCATCGTCTGGGGATACCTGCGGGGCCCCGACTCTATGTGGGAAGATGGAGACTGGTTGGGGACTGGTCGAAACGAGTCAGGAGACCAAGACGCCGTCACGCCAATATCCACCGTTTGTCCGGTGTAGTGCCTGGGGTTTCCCCATCCAGGAGTGTTTGCCGGCAAACAACCCCACGCGAGAATTAGTCTTGATGGTTTATGATAATCAGGGGAAAGAAGCGGAGATATACTATTGTCTAGGAAAGCAGCAGTAGCTATTATCGTTAGCTGCGAATAGATTCACATGTTATTGCTGGATATATGTGTTTGTGCTAAAAAATAACGTCGAAGATTCGCTACTAGGCTTGAGACTTGGGAACATCAGGAAATGTTGTAAGCGTCTCTTCCCGCTGATGACTACACATATGCTTCAACGCTGAGTTGCATACGCAAGTCGGACTAAGGTATCTGTATCATAGTAAACACACGTGCATTCATATGTCTCTGTACCTTAGTGTGATGATTGCAACAATGTCAAATATTCTCCGCCTGAGGAAAATTCTCTTGTCGCGGGCCCTTCTCTCAAGACAAACCCCAGGCTATTCCCGGCTCGCGGCACCATTTAGCGGTGTTTTGGTGCGTCGAACGGTGGAGGCGCGTCGCCGGTTGTCGCCCGATTTTACAAAAGAAGTTTGGCACGCCGCTATCCGAAGCCCCAACTCTCTGTTCGTAGAGCGCTACCAGAAAAGTACTGGGGGCGCCGTCCGACAATGTCCGACGTTGGTTCTCGTTGACATGACGCGGTCTGGAATCTCGGGGAGTCGGGATGAGAGAAAGACGGTGGGTGCTTGACACTTCCTAATTTGATACCCCTCGGTGCTCACATTGTTTCTATTGTCGGCTTGCTTCTAAGTTAAGCATTGATCGAATCTAACATGGAATGATGCTTGAAAGTGATCAAGACTTGATGAAGCATGGCTCAGAATCCTTACCGAAGCCAACAGTTGAGTTCTTTTCGCACTCCTGGAGCATGGCATCGCATCTCAGTCTCCCTCTGGGCCTCTGCCTGCGTTCGGTCGGGGCATTTGTGATTACTACTCAAATCGTCATTGTCTCTCTCACCATGCTCAACTCTTTCACTTTCTGGTCTCCAAACATCCGGTAATGACGCAACCCCAGACCGCGGACTTGGTAAATTACCTTGGAGAATGGAGATGCCGTCCCCACACGACTCGTGTGGGCGCTTGACAACCCCCAAATCGGCCAAGCTCAAGCCCCAGAAGCTGGTCGGATTGCGGGGTTACCACCCTGTTGAATAATGAGGAGAGCCGGAAAGAGGCCGAGACTACCAAGGGCACCACGCGATATTCGGGCCAGGTTTTCAGCGAGGTGCGAGTGTGAGAGAAAGAGAGGTGATCTGTCGTCGTTCCGAACAAGGAAATGTTAAGCACCGAGGCTATCGTGAGAACATCACGCTGGACAGCTCGTCATAAGGAAGTGGGCAGCTTTCCTTCAAAGTGATCGTGCCAATTCAATTTCAACCCCTGGATCTGAAACCCTTGCATTGCGAACTTGCGTCTCATTCTTGTTCCCTTGCACACGTCACGTCGCAACCACACGGCAGCAACCTGAGATACCATTACCATGGCGCAACTCACCAGACTTCAGACATTCCCAAACAAGCCGAGAGTGTTTGTCCTCACTGACATCTCGAACGAGCCCGACGACGCCGAATCACTCGTCCGCTACCTCCTCTACTCCAACCAGTTCCAGACCGAGGGCCTCGTCGCCGTCTCATCAACATGGATGAAGAGCAAAGTCTGCCCGCAAGATATTCACAAGATCCTCGACGCATACGCCGGCGCCGTGGATAACCTAAACAAACACACGCATCCAGACTACCCTTACCCCTCAGCCGATAGCCTTCGCGCCTTGGTCAAATCTGGTCCTGCGGTATGCAATTGAGGTACAACAAATGTTCCAAAGATCAAATATGCTGACATTTTTTTCGACTACCTTAGGTCTACGGATTCGCCGGTGTAGGCGCGGACAAGCCTTTGACCGACGGCGCTCAGCTACTCCTCGAGAGAATCGAGGCCCCTTCACAAGATCCCCTTTGGGTGCTCGTCTGGGGCGGCACCAACGTCCTTGCCCAGGTCCTCCTCACCATCCGAGACAAACACTCCCCCGAAGAAGCAGCCAAGTTGCGATCGAAGCTGAGAGTTTACACAATCTCCGACCAGGACGATACTTCCGCCTGGATCCGCACACAGTTTCCCGACGTTTTCTACATCTCCTCCATCCACGGCTGGAACCAATACGGACTGGCAGCGTGGACGGGTATCTCTGGAGACAAGTACTACGGTTTCGACCAGGGCGGTCCAGACTTCTCCAAGGTCTCAAAGCAATGGATCAAGGAGAACATTCAGATCGGCCCACTAGGCTCCGCATACCCCGATTTCCTCTTCATCCCAGAGGGCGATACCCCTACTTTCCTCTACCTCATCCAGAACGGTCTAGGTGACCGAGAGCATCCAGACTACGGCTCATGGGGCGGTCGTTATGCGCTCACCGACGCCAGTGACGCAGGCCAGCAGGGCAAGCATTACAGCGACATGTCCGACTCGGTCGTTGGCGTCGATGGCAAATCATACCGCTCTAACCAGGCCACTATCTGGAGATGGCGCGATACATTCCAAAACGATTTCGCGGCGCGCATGGAGTGGTCACTGAACCCAGACCTTGCTTCAACAAATCATCACCCCATTGTTGTCGTTAATGGTTCTCAGAGCCTGGAGCCGCTGTATTTCGAGGCTGAAGCCGATTCCACTATCGAGCTAGACGCCTCAGGGACGTACGACCCCGACGGGGATAAGTTGACGTTCAAGTGGTGGCAGTACCGCGAACCCAGCGCTTCACAGTGGCTAGTCCACTTTGAAGTTTCGGAACTCGGTATCGAAAAGCTGGACGAGGAGGGAAAGAAGATCAAGGTCACGGTGCCTGAACCTGAGAAGTCTTGCATGGAGCTCATTCGCCGGCAACCGATTGCGAAGGGCCAGTTGCTGCATCTCATCTTGGAGGTCACTGATAGTGGAACGCCGGTGTTGACAAGTTACCGCCGCGTTCTGATTCAAGCCACGAATAAGGATTTAAGAGGAGGCAAGCCTTTGAAGGAAGGGGAAGAGTTGTTGGCTATTGGTGATGCCATGAAGGATTATACTGGATGAGAGGGCCAAATGACCAGCCCTGAAATGAAATGAAAGTCAATTTTGAAGCTCACCTACCAAGTCTATGAGCGACGGATCACACAAGCCTTTAATGTTCAATGAGATCACGCTGCTGTTCGAGGTTTCTGCGGCTAAGTGTCATACCGTGCTTGATTATGAGGACCACATGAACAGCACCTTAAGCTGTACGGTTGTGAGCGGCGCATAGACCTTGAAATTTATGTCAGTTGTATGACTACTGGTACTTGGTCATTGGTTTACGACGTTACTGAACATTGGGTGAAGGAGTTGTGACTAAAAGGTTCGAAACAGACTGCATAAGCAACCCCTAGATGCGTTGCTGATGCGTGTGCGCGAACACAAAGGAAACGCAAGAAAGGCTGCTTACATCTCTGTTTGCGTATCATTACGGCCAAAGCGCGTAGTTGATATGATAGAATATCTACTTACTATCCCCTCGGAAGGCGAATACTCCAAGCAGATTAATAGGTCATTTTCGGGCTTGACTCTTGGCTATATCGTCGTTGTTGATTGAATTCAACGTCAACTCACCCGCGGAGACGACAACCCACGAGTAAAGAGAGACATGGAAAGTGGCGGCTGCAGCCTTAACATCTTACGAGTCACAAATCCAGACACCAGCCCATCTACTATTAACACATAATGCCGAATATCATGTATTGCATTAGAAAATCAAGGACAGAACGCCGTTTGGGTGTAGATGATGGATGTGACTAGGGGCACAGACGATTGTGCATGCCGAAGTACACTTAACTGCATGGCTTGAGACAGAAGACAGGGCAATGACGCTATATCATGAGTGTTAAAACCTTTTATTGACCGATAAACCGATGGTGTGAAGACTATGTCCCATTTATGGCTGTTCAACTCTTTCTTAAACCCGCTAGACTATGCACAAGAATATGCTTTCTCCTCGCTCATGGTATCTGATATAAGGCGCCGACGGTTCGCGATATCGGTTTCCCATAAAGGACCCATCCCTTAGCAAGCCTTGTTGAGCGCGCAAGTGCCGTCCTTGGGGCACTGCTTGGGGCACTCGAAGTTCTGGATGCTGTCAATGCAGGTAGTTCCTTGGCAGTAGCTGGCCTGAGGTGAAGTGTCAGTGAATGATACAGGTTACGAGTTGAAGTTTGAGCATAGGAAGATTGACTTACGCTGACAGCGGCCGGGAGGACAAGGGCAACAGCGGCGACGAAGAGGGTAGAGAACTGCATCTTGAAAGATATGGGATATGGACTGGAAGTCTTAAGAAGTGTTTCTGGCTTTGTATTTCGAGAAAGCTGATATCCGTTGTGAGTGATCTAAAAGAGATTGGCTTCGTTACGGGGAACCTTCAGTCTTTATGTACTTATTTACTTACTCAGATACTGGCTTGACCGCCGGGTTTGATTTCTACATCCAGCTTTCTTCGGATTCTATTGCATGTTGCGGAAAATACATGAAAGTCCGATCGCATCCTACACTGCTGTGAGGCTCAAGTCAGGCGGGAACTCAAAATACATTGAATTACTCGGGCTGAAATGCCTATAACGTATTTGAAGGCCAACAATGCGGTCCCACAAGACAACTCTAATATACGGAGATTTCTTGGCTAAGTTTGGGAACGGACTGTTCCGTACATGTAGTGATGCTCTAGTGCGGCTCGATCATTACACGAAAACGAAAAAAAGGATTGTAGAGTTGACCGATTTTGGGTTTGTCTAGATCGTGTGATACCTACTTTGACTTCTCATGGAGTATGCACTGTCTCTTGCGATTGCAGCTTAGCATACGAGAATTGCGTCTTCAACCCCTATACTCAATAGCACATAATCGATAAAGACATCGCTTGTTGTAACTAATTATTGTTGGGATTAATGTCATGTCATGGTCAATGGCCAGGGTAAGTGGGTCAGAAACCCCACGGATTCCAAGCTTCGCAGCCTTGAATCCGAGACCGAAGAATACGCCGGACCCTTTGAGAGCCGGGCCCGTTCGACGGCCGGTGGATTCTATCCCTGCCCCATCGGCCTCGGGCTTGAAGATACCTGCGAGACTTTGAATGGCCGTAATGATGGAGAGAGTCCGCAAGTGTTTCTGTCAGGCACATGGTCCGAGCGGTCAATATATACGCAACTTGTGTATACGTGCACTCGTCAATCTTGCGGTGTCTCCGAGTCTTACATCTCAACGCAGCTTTCGTGTTTTCTTCAGAGGTGGGGAACATGAGCGTTAAAACTTCCACGATGTGCAGCACGCTTGGAAACGCTTTCAATACAGTTATGCTAAATATAGTTAAGCAACTTCATCTTCCGACTGAGTGTGGCATTGCTCGAGACAAGGACCGGGCAATAGACAACTGGTGACTGGTCTTCATAATGTGATAAGTTCCTCCGTGAATCGTGACTCTCCAGTTTAAGCTGACTCTATATCAATCTGAATAAGCAAAAGGAGTTCAATAAAGTATCTACGTTAATGCATGTGACCAAAGTTCTGTAAACGGTACTTTACTAAGGTAAAGTGATTACATGTAAGGTAATAAATCACCAAGTGTGATGGAGTAAGCTGTCTGTCTTTGGCCGAGAAAGTGATCAGAATAGACAAATCTCAAAAGCCTTATTTGTTCATACCAATTTACTCAAGGGCTCAGGTACTTCCTGATGTTCAAAGTTAAGCGTACTGTACTACATGCCGCTCCCGAATCCCTGCGTAAGGAGACCCGCCGCAAAGCCCTTCCGCGCGGGAACGGATAATAACTTTAGAGAGGGGAGAATGGATCTTTAGTCGACCTATGAGCTAGCTCTCTATACGTTTCTTTCAACCTACAGTAACTCTGTAATCGGGGCCTGGACCAAGTCCGAGGAAATGCTTTGCACGGCATGGTGTTGGTCGCATTTCTCCAGAGGCTCAACAATTCTATGCATTAGGTTGCGTTTATCTCAGATTCTCAACTCAATTGCCATTCGGCCGACTTGCCAATGCTTTAGTCCGCAATTGGAGCGTATCGGCTTTTCTTCCGAATGACTTGGCCATACTTATAAAACAAGAATGGGACTGGTATTAAAGAAATGGAGATGAAACCAGGCAGCGATGATGCCCATGCAACGCCTAGAATCTCTGTCAGCGACTGTCCCATTCATGTCAACTGTCAAAAGGGGAGGCTCACCTAATTTGTTGTACATGCTGGTTGCGAACATGGTAAAACCGGCACCAACCCAGCTTCTCAAGAATACATTGGCCGCGATGGCGCTATTTGAGAGTTGAGCATACGTGTCGATGATGTACACCAAGCCCTGAATGAAGATGGTCATGATTCCTATCCCGGTGGGAACACTGGCAAGGACCTGCGGAGCCCAATGTATGTCTGGGTCACTTGTCCAGGCAAACCAAAACATGCCTATTGCTAGTGCGACTGAGCCAAACATCATTGGAATGAGACGCTCCTCTGGCGGCACCTTCCCAGCTGCTTCGTATATCTTTGCGTATCGAAGTCTGAGGTGCAACAGCACGACTACTCCCACAAGCACAATACCGAGCCCAAGGCTTAGGAAAGGAAGTGTTCCAACGCCCAAGCTCCAGCCTCGTTTGGCTGAAAATGAGATTGGATAGGCCTCAAAGAACAGATACAAGATGCCGTAGATGAGCGACATATAGACCGTCACGAGGGCCAAGATGGGCTGGCGACAGAGCATGACGATCGGTCTGACGAGATACCTCTGCGCAACATCGCCCAGCTCCAGGCGATGCTCTTCAATGGCTCCATGAAATGTCCAGTTGCCAGTTTCGAAACGAAGCTCTCGAGCTCTTCGCTTGAGGATGACTGGGCCGTATGTCTCCGGAATGAAGAGCAAGAGAATCGCCCACAGCACAGCACCGGGGATGAGCGTCAGCCAAGCTGTCCATCGCCAACCCAAGGAGGATTCAGTAACAAAGCCACCGACGATCGGCCCGAAGATGGAGCCCATGAAAGTTGCGCCGGCAAAGATACAGACTGCGATGCCTCTCTCAATGGGAAGAAAGAGGTCCACGAGTGCGCCGCCAACGATGGCCAGCGGAGCCGCGCCTCCGAAACCAACGATGAATCTGCATATTAATATCGTCTCGACATTTGCAGCGACTGCAACTGGTATGTTGAAAACACAGAAGACGAGCAGTCCCAGTAGCAGGGGAGTCTTGCCGTACACCTCAGAGAGTGGCCCAAAAACCAGGGGTCCGAATGCAAATCCCTATCAACTGTCAGTTCCTGCCATGATTTGTAGAGATTGCATGTGGTTTTGCTAACCAAAACATTGAGTGCCGTTGCTAAATGCATGATATCCTTTGAGACCCCGAACAACTCGCTCGTCACCTCGGTTGCAGTGCTGAAAATCGAACTGGCAAAAGTAACAATAAAGGTAACGAGGCCGTAGTGTACTGTCGTTCCCCATTTAGTAACCGGGGAGAAGTTCCGAGGATTGCCGAAATCATATTCATCAGTCCAGTCGACGACGTTGGGGAGGGTACGCCCATAGTTCAACAGAGATGTCTAAGTCGATATGCCAAAGAACGCGAACAGCTAGCTTCTAGGCTTTCCAATATGCCTTTCAAAGCCTTTTCAGTGTCCTTATAAGGACAGAAATAAACCTAAGGTTTCTTTTCCTAACTAAATACATGTACATTTCAAGGTATTGGAGTTATACCTGCACCGTCATAGATTGAGTTCGATGATCGTTGCGTGTATCACGCTTTGTCGAGCTTCTCCACCTTTAAGTCCGGGGAGTAAGGTAGTCCAAAGTCTTGGTGTCCGGTGCTCGGCGTTACGGGTGGGGATCAGCTCAAATACCGTCGGTGATCGAAGCGAAAGACCAAACTCAGTCAACCTCAAATCTCCGGCGATCCTAGACAATCAACAATCTTTCTTTTCCACTGCCCAACGTTCGAATTCCCATCTGCAGCCATCTGCCGACTGCAGATGCCAGCTACCGGTCACCGATACCCACTTCACCCGGGAGAACACTCGACTGCTAAGATATGTCCGACCTACAGCAGATAGAAGAAACACGCACGCGCCGGCGCCGAAGGGAGCGGCCGATGCTCGTCTGCCTCGAATGTCATCGCCGAAAGCTGAAATGCAACAAGCAACGGCCCTGCGACCGGTGCTCAAAGAATAACCCACCGCTGAAATGCACGTACGTCAGACCAGTCCCCGGCACCGCGCCGAAGCGGTCAATCCATGAGCAGCAGCAGCAAGCATCCAACGATAGGGAACAAAGCCCCAATGCCAGGCATACGCCGGGTTACTCCGGCGACCCAGCAGACCCAAGATCCGACAACACATTGTCAGCTGCACTCCGCAGCGCTTCAGTTACCGAATCTCGAGATAGAAGCGTGGAAGACGATGATGGGGATTCCCCGACTCCAGAGCCCCAAGAGGGCTTGGTTAATGGGAATGCAGACGCGCTGGGTATGTCCGAGAACGCCGGTGCCCCGACCGTAAAGCCGAGCAAACTCAATTCAAGAAGAACTTGGTATGGGCGTAGTAGCAATCACTGGCTATTCCTCAAGGTATGACCAATATCAGCGTAAGAGTTTTTCTTAACTGACACTCATTCTAGTTTCAACATATCATGTCTCTCATGGGCCGGGCTGGATTCTCTTTACCCAGCGGCGAGTTCACAACCTTCAACGAGCTCAAGACTCAACTATACCAGCGGCGGACCCTGTTTCTCGGAGAGACCCAAGGACCCCAACTGTCCATGTTTGAAGAGTTTCCACCCAGGAGCACAACCGAGTTCCTAATCGAGAGGTATTTCGACACTTTTGGCTCCGTCTTTGCGCTCTTACAAAAGCCAATCTTCCAAGACCAAGCCTTGAGGTTTTGGGAAAAGCCCGAAAGCGTGCCCATTGCCATCTGCATACAAATCTTGCTAGTCATAGCAATTGGGAATGGTACTCTTGACACAACGAGCGGCCGACTGCCGGATACCAAGATCGAGGGGTGGTGGCATCTCATTCTAGCTTGGCAGAGCGTCGCCCTTCGATCAAATCCTTGCGACGTCGGCACGCTCCAATCATGTTGCTTGATCGATATCATGAGGCAGGTTTACAGCCTAGATTCTACAGCTACATGGTCTTCATCCGGCATGCTGGCGCGAAACGCCATGGTGGCAGGTCTGCATCGCGATCCCTCAATCACAGGAGACTGCCTTTCCAAGGACGAGCTAGAGACTCAGCAGAATCTCTGGTACACGATTCTGGAGTTAGACTTGCAAAGCTCCATGACTGAGGGGATTTTGACAACGGTAGGGCCGGACGACTGGGATATGTCGCTACCAGCACCTCCTCCAAAATCGAACGGCACTGGAGAGGGAGCTCACCTGGATGCGTCGTCACCGGTGGGCTACTTGATATCGACTTTGAGGACGCGCATACGTATCGCCAACTTCCTCAACGACATCAGGTGCTCCACGAAATACGAAGAGGCTTCCAGGCTGCAGGAGACATTGGAAGCTGTAGCGCGTCCGCTGCTAGCAAATAGTTCTCCTGATCATGGAAACTTTGCGTTGTGTTTCTCAACCATTCTTTGCCAGAGGTCACTACTCGCTCTTCACTTGCCGTTTGGGGTTCAGAGGAGCTCATCACTGGCCTTCTCGTACACCTTGTGCGTCAGCACCGCCATCTCGATCCTTGAGACTATTGATCCTCCCAACAAACTAGCAAAAACCCATGATATGGGTGGACTAGTGAACATGATGAGAACGTCCGGGTCCTTGTTTCGAACCGTGGCTCTACATGCCGTGCTATTTCTCTGTTTCCAGTTGGAAGCGTCCATCAACGACAACAAGCCCTGGACGTTGATCGCCGAGCTCAGAGATCGGATCATAGATATCATCGACCGCTACGCCGTCATTGCCGAGAGAAGGCTGGCGACGCAAGACTTTGTGGGAAAGGCTTTCATCATCGCCAATATGGTGTCGGCGAAGGCCAAGCTTGTGAGGATGGGACACAGCGGAGCGGAAATCGATGCGGCGAGCCCAGCTATGGCTAAAGATATCGCCCAGGTTTGCTTCTCCATTTTCCGCAATCGACCGGATATCCCCGGCCCTGGCAATGAGAGCGCGGTATCATTATCGTTTGTCGATCAATAGATAGGTTCCGCAGAGCGAAATCGCTGTGTGTAGGACAAGGTAGCTTACGGGCACGCACTCCTTATACCTGTTATCGAGTTGCTGGATCACAGACGAAGACTAGCTCGGTGCAATGCTACCGCTGAAATAATACCTCCCAGCAGCATTCTCGCTGTATCATCGAGCCGGATTTCTATAGGTATCATGCGGAATCCAGGATTCCGAATCCTGTCGGTCTCTCTCTTGCCTTGTTTTAATGAAACACCCCGAAATCCGATCGTGCTAAATCGGCTCATCCTGAGCTGGTGTGCCCGCCCGTTCTGCGTAAACTTGTTACTGGATCGAAGATGCGCTTTCCGAAAATTATATCCCCTAGTTCGAGGACGTCAATGCTTCTCTCTCTTCGTGCCTTACGAGTTCCACGTCTGGATTTCCTGAGGAAGCTGGCAGCATATGCTGAGATTGACCTTGACAAGCGAGTGGTTTTGACAAGTGACAGTCGCAGCCAGGATAAAGTGATTGATTGCAGTTGTAAAACGACAGCTGTAATTCTGATGAGACGAGCCAAATACTAGTAGGGTTACTGTCGGATTGGAAGCCCAATTCGACCGTGAGTAAGGGTAGAGCAGGGGCCACCTCGAGAGGGTACAATTACACCTCGACGGTCCACCCAACCTCCGGTTGGAATCTCCCTTCTACTCCTTACGCAGAATCAACCAATACAGAGATATTGATACTTCGTCACCCCCAGGACCCTACGGTTCGAACCAATACCCTGTGATAGGTATACCAACAGTTACCAAGTTGAGTATCGAAGATGAGTTGAGACGCGAACACAGACAGGAGTGACTGTCTGCGGTCTTCAGGTCCTTCTCAGGGGGATCTCGTGGCATTAGTAAAATAAAACATTGGCAAGTTGTTCCCTGAAGTCCGCGTAGTCCGACGAGCGCTTCTCAATACGGCTCCGTTGGCCGGTGAGCTCCGTGTGACAATAAGGATCTGTGCTCTGTTATGCGGTTATACTAACCGATTAAGGGTGTGAACTGCGCCGCTAGGACGGAGTTTGGCAAGCCTATTTAGAAATGGAAACCTCACGAGTAATAGCTTTCTCTATGCCCAACAGCATGACCCTTCATTGTCTGAATGTTCGACAGGTAATCTTAGTCTCTTCAATCAAACTCAGACTTCCTCACGAGTAGTATAGAACTACCTACGAGGCCATGCCGAGGTTGAAAGCGTAAAGATTCCTTCAAGGGGCATGCTCACAGGGGCTTTCATGGGACATAAGACCATACTGGAGTCGGAAGGCCATGAACCTCACAAGGTAAGTGCTACAGGGAGTTTCATCCATGGGAGGCCCCGAAATCTTCAGGTAAGGCCAGCAAAAGGGTGAAGTTGATGCTTGTCAATCGAGATGAGTTGTCCAAATAGAAAAGCGTTAGGCTGTAGGGACATTGCTCATCACCTTTACGTTTAATACCGAACAGCCAATGGCACTGACTGACAGTACCCCCACGGAAGCTGATTTGGCCTATAACATTGCTTAGTTAGCATTAATTGTATAGTGTTTTTTCAGGTCGCCATCAGATGTATTTAAAGCATACCCTAAGTATTTGATGGATGCGACAAGCCCTAGGGATTTTGAGTTACTAGCCCCTTGCCCCCAAGCTCTAGTCAGATTCCTATGCCCATAACTCACAGCCCGCCTTATCCGTGCCCGTCTTGTATGTACGGACTTCTCGGTGGCCCGGAAAGCTTCTTAGAATGAAATAATGGGGCTCATAGAATCCCAAGGCTGGTGTTGAGTAGAGTTACCTTGTTCTCACAATAACGAAAGCCAAGATGCACTGTTGTATCTCTGACGGTCACATGGCAATGCCACAGTCCACTACCCTTGCATCTTTATCTCGTATCCTGAGTCAACAGAGGCGCGATCGTACTATCTCACATGAGTATAAGAACATCAGCCATACCTTTCATGACTGTTCTTTCTCTCTTGCTTGCCATCACATCACCATCAACCATAACTTACTACACAGTTTCGTCTTCAGACAACACATCGCCCAACATGCAGCCCATCACTCCTGCAAACCTCATCCTCCTCGTTTCGGCCCCCCTCGCCCTGGCGAACCCGGTCGGTGAGGCAGCCTCCGCCATCTTCGATAGGCAAATCAACTGTTTCAAGGCCAACTGCGGTGACTCTGGCGAATGCGCCGGCAGTTGGGTACGTCCACTATGACAATACGTAAAATGCTGTGGGGTGAGGTTAACCATGGGGTTTATAGTGCTGCGTTCCTTGGGAGGCAGCTGATGGCCCTGCTTGCAAGTGCGCTCCTCCTGGCGACACCAAGTTCTGTTAAAGCCGCGAACGTACTTCAATCATTTTTCGTCATCAAGAGTTTGATGCGAGGAACCCCTATCGATGTTTGCGGAGCGAAGCATTCACTAAGGCAGTTGCACGTTGTGTCGAACTGGAACTAGGGTAGCTAGAGGCTTATACACGAGTTGAACATCTTCATTCGACCAGAAGATATATCATACCCAAGTTGACACAAATTTCAAGTCCACCTTCAGACAACCTTCCGTCTTGCTAAGTCGCCTCGGAGAATCATGATTCCCACTTGGGGCTGAGATACTGTGCGCAATCCCCTAAGTGGCCTAGGACGAGACCTTTGTACGGAGTGGGCGCAAATCGGCGACGCACCGAAACATAAGCTGATCTACAATGCCGCCGGAGAGGTAAGCACGGTGTTTAGTGGTACCGGGTGCGGCGTCATCCGGAGCGGGTACCCGACCCCGCAGGCCGATCAAGCACACTTTCGGCTCAACCCACTCGGTCCATTGTCCGAACCTCAGGTCTGCCCAGAGGTTCCATCACTACTGATTTCCATTCCCTTTCCAGAGATTGAGCGGGCACCGGAACGGACTCCCCGCGCTCATCTACACGTGTACCGAATGAAGCTGGCTGCAACGTAATTAGTGATTTCTATCTGGCCGAAAGGAGCCCGGGGTCCCACATCCTGAACAAGGGGATTGACAAGGAGGGTTTCCCATGGATCATAATCTTCAGGGATCTTCATTCTTCAGCCAACCAACTGCCCGGGCCCCAAGAAGGAAATCTCCATGTAGCCAGCTCTTCCCACCCCTCAGCGGGCCGCTTGACACCTCCGAGTTAGGCAACTTTGGCTTAAGTTTGAGCCACCGAAAAAAGCCGTTGCACCCTAATTCAGGGATTCTGCGTAGTTGCAGCGCGAACAGACAATGGGTTATTGCCGTGTGAATGTCAGACCATCCGTTCGGATTACACCAGAACGCCATGGTCGATTTCTGAGCCAAACTCGCCGACTCTTTCACGTACTTACGGTGACACCGACAACTAAGGTATTCGTAGAGACATCTGCCGTCCTTCGGGGGTTTCTGCCTGCGCGTCCCGTTGATCGCTTATTGCCACCCACCCATGTCTCCAACGTTGTAAACCTCGGTGCTCTGGCTTTTTCGGGTGTAGGTCCAATGCAGAACGTGTGGACCGCCCCTTTGACTACCTTCATCCCACCCCGGACTCTCCACACATTCTGCCGTGGCGCAAGTCTTGGAGGAGTGAGAGAAGAGACGAAGAAAAATGTCCTTTTTCTTTACTCTCCGGAGTTCGTGATTCCAAAACTTCCTTCTCAACCATCCACGTTCCCCCTTACCGGCGAGTCAGGAAGAACACAATGCCAACCCTCGAGACTACGTCGTCGTCCTTCGACGTTTCCTCGTCGTACTTGTCGGCGCGTACTGTGCTCGGCCTCGCCGGCCTCTGGTTGCTGTACCAGGTCGCAAAGGCGCTCTACAACATCTCGCCTTTGCATCCGTTGAGCCACATTCCCGGACCTAAACTGTCCGCAGCCACATACATCCCCGAATTCTACTACGATGTCATCCTTTTCGGTCGCTACACCAGGGAAATTATCCGCATGCACGAGCAGTATGGTAAGTCTAGCTACACTCCCCGAGAAACACAAGACGAAATCTAACATTGTCGCAAAGGCCCCATCGTCCGCATTAGCCCCCACGAAGTACACTGCAACGACGTCAACTTTTCAGATGACATCTACGCCGTCAGCGGTCGCAAGCGCGACAAGCCCGTCCACCAGATTAACGGTTCTGCGTGAGTACCCTCATTTGAATGAGAAGGAAATCAGTCGTGCTTACCAAATAATGTGTTTTCCAGCTTGGGCGAGTCTGGCTTCGGAACCGTAAACCATGATTTACACCGCGTTCGTCGCATTCCACTAGCCAAGTTCTTCTCTCGCGGCATGATTGGGCGTCTCGAAGGCGACGTCCATGACTTGGTCCAGGTGCTTTGCGACAAGTTGCTTGCTCAGCGGGAGGCCTTCGATGTGACGATGGCTTACAGCTGCTTCACATCTGACGCTATTTCAGGGTACTGCTTCGGCGAGAGCTTCGGCTTCCTTAGACAAGATAGCTGGTATCCCAACTTCCGGGAGCCGACTGCCTCCATCTTGAGACCTGTCTTTGTCTTCCGTTTCTTTCCTTGGACCAAGTCCTTTGCCGTTCTTGGAGAGTGGTATGTTTTCTCGATGAGCCAATCTACGATTTTGAAAGGCGACAGAAGATACTGACTTTTCGCAAGGCTCGTAAACTACTTGCCTGCCGACATTGCTCTGCTCATCCGCACGCTCAAGATTGATATCCCCAACAAGGTGAAGCACACCAAGGCCGAGCTCGACGCCGGCATCCGGCACGAACGCCCCACAGTCTTCGGGTCCCTCCTGGAGTCAGACCTGGAGCTGCTCGAAAAGAACCCACAGCGATTGGCCGACGAGGCGACCGCCGTCGTCGGCGCGGGAACCGAGACCACCAGCTGGGCCCTGGGCGTCATCACGTACCACCTGCTCACCAAGCCTCATCTGCTCAAGAAGCTCCAGGACGAGCTGAACGCCGTCGTCGACGACCCCAAGCACCTCCCCGGCTGGACGAGTCTCGAGAACCTTCCCTACTTGGGTGCTGTTCTCCAGGAGGGTCTGCGTCTTTCGTACGGCGTCTCTGCGCGTACTGCGCGGGTGCCTACTGAGGAGAACCTGGTCTACCGCGGCGAGTTCAACAAGAAGCCTGTCGAGTATGTCATCCCTGCTGGATACGCCGTTGGCATGTCTGCTGTTATCACGCATCATGACGAGACTGTGTTTCCCGACTCGTACCAGTTTATTCCCGAGCGCTGGCTGGATGAGAACAACCAACGTCGCAAGGATGTTGAGAAGGGTATGCTTGCCTTTTCCAAGGGCAGCAGATCTTGCTTGGGCATGAAGTAAGTTGTATCCACCCTAATTATTGATGAGAACCGCCGAATCCTGACTTTTGTTTGAACAGCCTGGCTTTGTGTGAGCTCAACTTGTGCTTGACAGCGCTTGCTCTGCGTGTCCTGCCCAAGATGCGTCTTCACGAGACGACGGAGGAGGACGTTCTTTATGATCACGACATGTTCGTTCCCGTGACTAAGCCGGGGTCTCAAGGCGTGCGGGTGACGATAGTCTAACAGCCTTAGATTGTTTCCCATGCTTACTTCGTAGACTTAATTATCACAAGTGCCGCGTTCCCGGCCGGCCTAGTTTATTTCTTAATCTCAACTATTACAAAAACATGCATGCCAGAGTGGATGTCTTCGTCTCGCTAGAGTTCAGCGGATATGCCCCCAGGTCGAATGAATAACCCAATTCGGGACGGCTCGGGTTGGTTGTCTCTTGAGCTTTTCACAACTGGGGGGGGGCGGTGACCGGTCAGATCAGAACTGGGCATGTCACATCTTGGAACCCGAAAGCGGCAGAGCGGCTCGTCTTATTCTCGTACGAGATGACCATCCAACAACGGCTCCCACAAATTCAACCGTAGAATAGACGGCGGTGATCCCAATTGTGGCCCCTTCCTCGACGGTCGACCTCGTGGTGATCGACATGTTTCAACCCCCAAAAGCGATCGTGGCAGAGGATTCCACCCTCCTGCTAGCGTTAGTCCGCCATGCGACTTGTCAGATCCCGTCATTGGATGGTTGCCAAGACTCAAATCCGTCTTCCATGCAATTTTTTTCGACGCTTCTTCGGACGTTCGCGATGTCTTTTGCCTAGTGCTGTGGAGTCCTTCGACGGTGGATGCTCATCCTCTTGCAACGGACCCCTGAGCGTTGTGCCGCCTTTGCTAGCGGCCCCCAATTCCAACCAACCCGGGCCTCTCGGCATGAAGACCGGTTCCTTCATTGGTGACGGGAAAGTGGGCAAATAAGACCCAGTTCGAGAACTGCTCTTGACCTTTTTCCTCTTCCAGACCATCCGGTTGCCATGGGCCATGTAAGAAGTCCATGGCCCCTTGGGCCCTTCCTCGATGGAAGGCGGTCCCTGTTGGTTGCATCAGGTTTTCTCGACCAGTGGCAAGTCTATAGGCACTATGACAGTTCTCAAAGTGTTAAAGTGTCAAAGTGTCAAAGTAGCCCCCCAAATCCTAATATCTGGGGTTGCATCCATGGAACACGATCCCCGGTTCTGATCTTTTCGAGCAGTCCAGGGCCCAATGACCAACTGCTACGCCGCCTCCTACTTGCGGACTGAATTTAGTTCCCAAGCAGCCTATCCTCCTCCCCTGCATTAGTAGTATAGATCTGCAGGCTGCGGCTGCGGCACTTAAAGCCCCGAAGAGGTTCTACCCGGAGGTTTATAACTCGGGGAGTGCCTACTTTTGTCAACACCACATTCGGAAACTCGTGGCGTAAGGGTGGTTGCTGTTTTTTAACGAAAGGACTTTGATCGAAAACCACGTGCCGCCAATATGTCCTTGTCAACGAACGTCGACCCCGATTTGCGAATCCTCGAGCCGGAGCATCTGCCGCTGGCCATCATCATCATATCATCCATCTTCCTCGTCATATCGGTGATATGTGTTGGAGTACGAACGAGCGTGCGTCTCGTTGAGGGCACATTCGGCCTAGACGATGGACTGATGCTTGCGGGAACGGTATGGCACTCGTATTATCCATGACAAACGAACGGCTGGCTAATCCCTCTTCAAAGGTGGTTTACGTACCAAGTGTGGGATTGACGATATACGGCTGCCTCGTTGGGTTGGGCACGTTGCAGGAAAAGCTGAACATGTGGATGTTCTCAGAGGCTCTCAAGATCTACATCATCTGGATCTTGGTGTACGTCGTCGCCCTCGCCCTCGTCAAATCGTCCGTCTGCCTCACCATCCAACGAATCATCACGACGAACAACGGTCTGCGCATCACAGTTTGGGTCCTGCTCGGCGTCACGTGGGCATCTTTCATGATCACGTTCGTCGGAACGCTGCTGTACTGTCAGCCGGTCGAGGCCATGTGGACGCCTACGATGATTCTTAGTGGCGAAGGAAAGTGCGGCTCTGTCGATGTCTTCATCGCCCTTGGTCACGTTGCGACGAGTTCGGCTATTGTGACGGATCTGGCTTTGGTTGTGGTGCCTGCCATCATCCTCTGGGGCACGCAGATGAAGACGCAAACGAAGCTCCAGGTCTTTGGTCTGCTGTCATTTGCCTCGGTGTAAGTTTGACCCTTTGATGAAAGCAAACCATGGTATCAAAGCTAACGCAACTCCAGTGCATCCATCATCACCATGGTCCGCATCCCCTATGTCAACAGATTCAAGGCCCAAACAGACCTTCAATGTGAGTACCTAGTCCCCACAACCAAATCCATTGCGTCATGGAAACTGACAAGGGGGTTCTCTTTAGTCTGGGTCGCCCACACGGTGCTCTGCTCCAACATCGAGACCGGAATCGGCTGCATCGCCTCATCGGTGCCCTCGCTACGCCGTTTCATCGCGCGAACCCGCGGCGAGTCGGAAAAGACGAACCCGAGCGGGAGCGGGACCAAAACGGGTCTCTTCACCATCGGAAGCAAGCCGCTCGAGCCCAGGAGCCGCGACCGATTCCGCAACCCGACCGACGTGGGCTTCAGCCTGGCGACGGTCCACGGCAGAGGGGACGAGACCTGGGAGCGTCTCCAGGACGGCGACTCGGATAAGGGGGACTTGCTGCCGAGCGACCAAAAGGGCGGCATTCACGCCCAGTACACGTACCAGGTCGACATTGAAATGTCCCACGACATGAGAGCTTCAGGAGGTCGGCCTGGGCCGCTGGAGTCGTCTCGTCGCTGAAGAAGGGGACGTGAATACCCGGGTGGATGTTGAATTGTCGAGCAACTAGTTTTCAGACTAATGTATAAAATCCTGTAGAATATCCACTTGGGATGTAACCTTACCCCAGACCGAGTTGCGCGTTTTCTCACGGAAATTAATCAAAAACCAAGGCAGTGGCCAAAATAACTGAAGCAGAAATCCTCCCACTAGCCAATGATGACCCAAGATCCTTTACGTTTTAGCCTCCTTGTTCCGCTTTCTTTGACAGCAGAAACTCCACATAGATGACAAAGAGCACCAGCAGATGGGCAGAAAAGATCCCAATGGCATCATTTACAAATTGCTGTCAACACACGTGTTTGAACCCTGTCCCTGCAAGTGCATTGCCCCTGAAGACGCGCTTTGGCCTCAATGCATAAATCAAATGGATGGAACCCGCTGCCAACGAAGGAACACCAGTGACACCCAGCCCCCAATAATCGATCGGGAATGTGGATGGCCGAGGAGGGAAAACCTCGTGGCTCGTATTGACCCAAGAAGGGGGCGATTCTGGGAGGAGGATGGAGTTGCGCACAAAGTGGAATATGGGGCTTTTATGTCAGTGCGAGACAGTGCAGATCCGATAGCCGAGCCAAGAAGAGAAGTTGCTCGTGGCTATGAACCTGTGTCGATTCTCACTACCACCTTTAAGAGGTATATGTGCACTGTGGTACGGAGTAGAAAGCAGTGCAACGGTGAAGCTCGAGGACAGGGGAACTGTTATTTGGGCAAAATTCAATTTCCAGCCCGCAGCTCGTGGACAGGATCTAATAGAGTCGAATGATCATTGAAACTGCATTTGAACCCTTGAAAATACCGCCTAGTGTAAATCTTGGCAGAAAGAGAGTTTCAGTGCTGGTCGAAATTCAGGAGCTCTGGCAATTTATTGAGGCGCAGAATTGGGATCGAGTGCCTTGGCTGACGAGCGAGATATCCATTTTCATAATCCCATGAACCTTGAATAGACGAGTTCGAGGCTCAGTGCCTAATAGACAAGCGCAAAGATCTATGCCTCAACCGGGTAAGCTTTCTCTCTGGCAGTGGAGAAGCTAAGAAGGGATGATGGCATGAGGCTTGTCGGACGACTTACCCGAGGGTGAGGCTCAAGGCTCTCTTCTAGTGATGGTTGATAAGTCCAGCAGTAAAGAGATAGACTAGATCCGGACCCCGGGAGGAAGAAGCCCCGATGCCGTATCCCCATCGCATTGCGAAAGCTTCCGACCCGGCTTCGAACCCCTCCTTGGCCGGATGATCTCCACTTTCTCGGCGAATGAGCGGATATCTGGACCCCACGTGAACCCGGAGCCCGCCGATGATCAGAGAGACGTGGGTAAACATTGCCGGCCCAATGGCGTCCTGAAGCGGAAGGTCAAGAGATGGACTTGTTGAAGTAACAATGTGACGACGGCATGCAGCTGTGCGTGTGCCACCAGGATGCTCGTTCTGTTTCCCCTCACTCGGTCATCCTCAACATGTGTATTTGGAAGAGTAGAAGTTTCGGAAGTCTTCAGACCGAAGACTCCAGACATAGATATTGCTTTGATTCCTTCCATCATATTGCCGTATCATACCTATGACAAGTCAAAGGCCTAAATTGTTTCCAAGCAGTCATGAAGTCCTACTTAGCAGCAACGTTGTTGTTCGGAGCGAGCTTTGTCGGTTGCCAATCATCTGACCTCGCTCTACGCTTCATAACCTACAACATTCGCTGGGCCACGCCCGACCCAGGAACCAACGAAGCACCCTGGTCCACCCGCCGACCACATCTCTTCTCCCAGCTCAACTACGAAACCGCAGCACGGCCCTCGTCCCTGGTCTGCATGCAGGAAGTAGTCGAAGAACAACTCCTCGGCGTCGCCCAAGACCTCGGCCTAGCCTGGGGCCACGTCGGCGTCGGCCGTGACGATGGCGTCGCTGCCGGGGAGTTCGCGCCAATCTACTACCAGCCGGGCACCTGGAGCCTCGTGGAGAACCGAACGTACTGGTTGAGCGAGACGCCTGATGTCCCCGGGTCCACGGGCTGGGACGCTGCGCTACCGCGCATCGTCACCGTCGCGTCTTTCCGGCATGTTGAGAGTGGACTGCCGCTGGTGTATATGTGTACGCACTTTGATCACGTGGGCCAAGTTGCGAGAGAACATAGTGCAGAGCTCTTGGTCAGCTTGGCGACAGAGTGGGAGAACTCGACAGAGGGGGTTGTGCCGGTGTTTCTGGGCGGCGACTTGAATATTGAGCCGGATAATGCGGCTTATCAGATCCTGATCGCGGACGGGAACTTGCACGATGTCCGTGATGTGGTTCCTGAGTCTAGGAGGCTGGGGTATTCGAAGACGTATACTGCTTTCACGGACGATCCCTCTGATGATACGTTTCTTGACCACTTGTTTGTGCGCGATCCGACGGTCAGAGGGATGAACTTCTTGACTCATGCGGTTCTGCCGAATCATTTTGACGATGGTGTGTATATATCTGACCACCGGCCTGTCGTCGCCGATGTTATGATCAGTGTATAGACCAAGGGGGAACTTTACAGGTCATGGTAATAGTTAATCTTAGCCCATGACTCTCAAAATTTGACGCAAGATAGCCTGCTTGATAGTGACAAAGCCGCGGGTCGGGGAACTGAGGCTTTCACATGGAAGTCTGAGGCGCTTGATGTTGATTTCGCCTTAACGAATTTGAATGAGTCCCAAGTTGATTGCCGGAATATCTCCCTCCCAACTCCATACAACTTAATTGTCACCACTGCCAACTCCTATCCCGTCAAACGCCAAATGCCTCCTAATTCTAGCTATCATAAGGCTTCTGCCCATACACGACATGAAACGTCAGATACGAGTGTATCGACACATTCATCAAACTCTTTCGCACATCAATCAAGAACACCTCCACCTCGGAAGCACTCCACTTGAGCCCCCTCGTCAACGGCGCCATACTCACAGCCTGTAGCGCATCAATGAGCATACTGCGGTTATACAGCCCTATCGTCTTGAGCTTCTGGTCTCTTGGCCACGTCCCAATGGGCACCTTCCACACCTTTTCCACAACATTTCCGAACCCGCTCTCGCGGAGCATCTCCGAGTTCCTCTCCATCGCTAGCGGGTTGATGCCGAAGCTCCGAAACCCGGACATGCAGAGGTCCACAAACTTGCCGTAACCATATTCCTCGGCGCCGGGCACCGTCTCGTCGTCGCACTGCAGGACGAACCGCAGCTCCTGCAGCTCGATCCAGCCGCCGGGCTTCAGCGCGGTGAAGGCTTGGGAGAGCATGCGCGGCCAGTTCTTGACTGCCATGCACATGTGCCGCGCGTGCACGAAGTCGAGGGAGGATGGCGGCCAGACCCAGTCTGCCTCTGCGTCGTCGACGACGAAGCGGACGTTGGGGGGTACCCAGGTTGGTTGGATTGGGCTCAGGTCGATGCCGGATATATCTGCTTCTGGGTACTCGTCGCCCACTTGAGGTGTTGTCAGTAAATGCTCAAGGTAATCTGTTTGTCGAACAATGTTGCTTTGCGAAGATGAGTGCAAAATTGTCCAGCTCAGATGTCTGCATGCCAACGTGTCCGTCATGAAGATGATCTATTAATGAGAGCAAACAGGAAGCAGACGTTCATACGAAGAAGAGACTCACTATCAACGGCCCAGATTCCCGTCCCCGTACCAATATCGATAATCTTTTGCGGGTTCTCCAACGGCGCGCAATGAAGCCTCCCATCCATGACATTCACGCACATAGCATGCTTCATATCCTCGCGCTCCTGCTCCGGCTCGTCATTGGGCATCAAATACCGGCCCTCCATGTACTTGTGATACCGCCGCGTGTTCTCAAAGACGTAGTCGCGCACGCTGTTGGACAGCGACGTCGAGGCCGAGTGGTTGCCGATGCTGCTGCCGTCGAACCCCTCATCCCAGACCTCGTCCCCCGCCCGCGACGACGCGCCGTCATCAGTGTCGGCCTCGACAACGTTCTCGGCCTCGAAATCCTGCGGTGTCTGCCGTCCTCCCGATCCTGATCGTGAGCGGTGTCGCGGCTGGGGCGGGGGCGACGGTGACATCTCGGGGTGGCCCGCTTCTCCTCCTGCTATGGCGTCCGTCATGGTCGTGCGATGCTGGCTCAAACCAGACCTGAGTGGAAGAAAGGTTACAGCGGCCTATTGTTCCCCTTTTCCCTTCCCGCGGTTCCTGCTCGACTCTATCACCAAGGCGAGCGGTTGATGCCGCTGTCCCCGTTCGACGTCGTCGGGGTGTTCTCAGGCGAGGGCTCGTGTGTCTGGCCAGGATGCGTCGTCCAAATTGTCGTGGACGTCGAGTTGAATTGGAGATTGGCAAACGTAAGAATGCGACGGAGAGGGGGGGGCGCTGGGGTCTTTGACCAGGTCCAGGAACACAAGTTTCTCCTGTCAGAAACCTTAAACGGTTTCTTGGGAGCGGCGCCGTGTATCGTACGAGAAAGGGAGAAGAAAGAGACTCTAGGTAAGCGTGGACTGAGCCAGTCTGGCATGGGCGAAATCGACAGTCTGACGAAGGGGAAAGAAGAAAGCGGAAGACAGAGAAACTCCACAACAAAAGCCGTTGAGACCGGAGTTTCGGGATTCGTTTCTTTCTTTTTTCTTATTGTCCTCTCCTACGGCTACGGACCTTTTGTTGCTGTCTGTCAGCGGCACATCAGCGGCATCAACAGCAGCAGCTCGACGAAAAGAAAACGTCTGGTGTGTATGTGCGCGCGTTGCAAAGTGGCATGTCGGCTCAGTCGACCTCGATGCCCCTGCGCCATCCTTTTCGCTCAACAGACCTATCAAGCTCCGTCTTGAACAACTTTAGCCGGTTTTGGTAGGAGACCGGCGCCACGGTCTAGAAATGCTAGCACTGGGACGGATTCCTTTTCTCAGACTATTCCCGGAGCGTGGGCCACGAGCAGAATAGCCGGGCACGGTAAACTGTGTCTGTGAGAGGACCGGACGCTCTGCCGTCATGCGGTGGCGCTCCGAGATGTCTCTGCTTCTCCGTCTTGTTTGGCCGGTTTCTTTCACGCACGCGCTCTTCCTTCTCCTCTTCTTCCCCCTCTCTGCAAGTCGAGTCCCCCTTCCAACCGCCGGACTGTCAGTCCACGTCGGCAGGCCCCTCCTCTTTTTTGCTTTCCTGGTGGTTGTGCTGCTTTAGCTCGACAGTAGTTGCTTTTTCGCCATTGGCTAGCCGGTAGAATCCCCTCCGATCCTTCGAGGAATGTGTCCCCCCAACCCATGCGGAAACATGTAAGACTAGACGAGCGGGGCACGTTTTCACCGATGTTGGTTGAGACATCACACCGAGCTGCCGCATCCAGTTACCGTCCATCCCTGGACCTGGCATCACCGCATCGGATGAGGAGAAGTTCAGGGAACTTGAGGCACATGGGAAGCGATCCAGAGACCAGAAGTCCTCTTTTTGCGCCTTTACCTCTCCAGTCCCTCAAGTCATTGCTCTCCTCTTCCCCGACCATCACATCCGTTGGCGAACCTTTGCGTGCGCTCGAAAATAGTGCAGCCAGAAGAGTTCATCATCCCATCTCACCCACATTCCGTACAACGTTCTCCAACGCGACGCCTGTCAACCCCCGTGTGCCCGGTTCTCCCGTGCGGCGTAGTCAAAGTTCCTGTCCCATGCAAAGCAGACCGTTGATCTGCAAACCTGCAGCGGAATCCACATAGCCCCCATTCGAACAGAGGAACGCAACTCGCATTCCTCGTGTAACCAAGCCGTACATTTCTGCGCCGCTCAGAGATCCGGTAGAACTCTGTTTGCCTCGGGGGTCCCACACCGAAAATGACCGGTGACAACGGCGCTCAGATCCGGGAGGAGGCCGCGGCAGCGACAGAAGAAGTCAACGCGGCCCTCCAGAGCTTCGTGACGAGTCCCGGGCCGTCCGGAGGTGACTTAGACAAGGGCCAACGGCGGCGCATCATTGATGCGGCGAATAAGCTCATCAATGCCGTCAAGGATCCCGGTGATGAGTGGTTTGATGCCACGGCGCAGGTCGCGCAGCTGGGCGCGAACCGGCTCTTTTGGGAATGGAAGGTCTATGATCACATACCGACCGAAGGCAGTATCTCATACGGTGAACTGGCCAAGAAGGTCGACGCCGATGTATCTCTGATACGTGAGTTTGAGATGCACTACCCACGGCCAACCCAAGCTACTGGGAATCTTCGCTGACACTTGTTAGGACGAACTGGTGGTGTTCTCACATCGATGGGAATTCTGCAACAAGTAGGCGACGACTCCGTCGCGCACACCAAGCGCTCTCGCATCTACATCGACGGTCACCCAGCGGGCCAAATTGTCGGCATGGCGTCTGCTCTCTCCTCATCCACCATCTTTGCAAATCCCTCACTAACACCCTAGCGCAGATGGGAAAACGGCCTGGTACCGTACGTCCACATGCCAGCCTACTTTGAAAAGTACGGCCGCAAGGAACCACAGACCCTCGACAACGTCCCCGGCACGTACGCGTACGGCGTGCCAGAGTACGGCTGGTACGAGATGCTGCAACACGACCCGCCGCGGATGCAGCGGTTCCTGCGCGCCATGGGGCCGATTGAGGAGAAGATGCCCATCTCGGGCATCTACGACTTTGGCTGGGTTGTCGAGTACGCTCGTGAGAACAGCGACCGGCCGCTGTTTGTCGATGTCGGCGCGGGGCGGGGCCAGTCTATCAAGGCTATTCATCGCGAGAACCCCGGGCTTCCGTTGGAGAGGTGTGTGTTGCAGGATCGTGCTGAGGTGGTTGAGGCTGTGAGGAAGCTTGATGACGAGGATATGAGGTTGGTGCAGAAGCAGGTTATTGATTTCCACAAGGAGCAGCCTGTTAAAGGTGAGAGAACAATGTCCTCCGTCGAGATGTGCTGGAGCACCACTTGGTGATACAGACACCTTCTCTCCATTGCAAAGGGTTTAAGAGACGGATAGCTGACCGTGTCATGACTTCAAGGTGCCCTGACGTACTGGATCCGCCGGTGTCTACACAACTACGGCGACGAGCTGGGCGTCAACATGCTCCGCATCATCGCCGAGGCCATGGCGGAGGACAGCCGGCTCCTGATCCAGGAGGACGTGATGGGGAACCCGCCGCACTACACCTCCACGATGCTCGACTTCATGATGCTCACCTTTGGCGGCAAGCAGCGGTCGCTTGAGTGCTGGGCTGACATTCTCGGGAGGGCTGGCCTCGCGATCAAGAACGTGTCCAAGGGCCAGGGACCGTGGCGGCACCTTGCTGTGATTGAGTGCGTCAAGGCCGAGAGGTGAGGAGTCTCGAGTTTGAGAGTTGGTCCTGGATGACATCAGGGACTAGTAGGCCCTCTAAGTCTGTGCAGAGGAGATTGGCGTTGCGGCTTCGATACTGTCTGGTAGATCGATGGATTGATGTGGCTGGGATTGGCGGTGAAGTCGTTGAGGTATTGAGTCGGCGAAAGATGAACCAGCAGGTGATAGCTCAATGTGACACTATTGAAGATCGACAAGAGACAGGAAGTGACCGACTTCAGCCTCGTGCACAACGTGTACCCGTAACGCCGCCAACCTCTGAATTCCGAAGTCTGATCTGAGCAGATCCATCGTCGGCTCTGGGCATCACCAGAGTCACCATATTGGCAGGACTGGAGTTGAATTTCGGCTAACCCCTATTGATGCTACCCCCGGCCCCGGGGAAGAGCCGCAAGATTCCTAGCGAAGCCCCCAAAGCGGGTCGTGATAACTCAAATCTTCACCGCTCCTTTCGCCCGGAATGGCGGCTTGTCCGGTCCGGTCCGCCTAATGTATTCCGGATCCGGACGGACGGGAGGACACCGGCTTCTCGAGTCCGCAGAAAGAAAGGCTCATGTGCCATGTGGGCTGTTGAAAATGGGTCCCGGCCGGGGACTAGCGGTGTGGCGGTGTTGCAGTAGGCTGGAAGACATTGATTTCATCCTCAACAAGATCAGATGAAGAAGAGCCTCATGTGAACTGTGGAAGGCATATTCATTGGCACTCGTGGTTGATCACATTGTCAGGAAGCTTGATATGATGTTGGTGTGCATGTATGTATGTATCATTGAATCTCTTGGAGACTACATGTAAAAATAACTATCAGTCTGTGTACGTGTAGTCCTCAAAAAGACGTTTGTTTCTCTGACTCGCTTCTCTCCAATCTTCCAAAGTCTCGTGTCGTCGTCTATCATCTATGTGTCGCTATGCCATTCTGATACTCAAACTTCAACTCTCTCATGTCTTGATACCTCGGCCCAAAGGCTCAAGAGAGTCTCGACATCCACCAAAACTAAAACGTTAAAAACAAGATTATGCAATAATGAAGAAAAAAAAAGGCGAAACAGAAGTATGACGAAGAATCCAACGATACCAAATGCTGGGTATAAAACGCCAATGCAGCCTTGCCCAGCCGCTTGTGCAAATGCCGCGCCGACTCGATGATGTCAATGCCAAAAATGAAGCACCACTCCCCCCCCAGTCCCATCCTCTTTCCATTCCATGAATCCGAAAGCAAAAACCCAGACGTTTAACACCAGCATCAAAGCAGAAAGGACGAAAAAAATGAAATCCAGCCAGAGAAGGGGGGTGAGAGTGCTCAAGCCGTCTTGGACCGAGTCCACCCAAACCAACCCCTCTTACGCCCGCCACACCCCTTCTCGCACGGCATATCCTCATCCAACTCAAGCCTGTACCGCCGCACACTACCCGTGTCGTCGTCGAACGCAACGTGCTTCTCCTTGGGCACAAAGCAGTCCGGCACAAGATGCCTCTTCATCCACCCCTTGACGCCCGTCCTCGCGGCATCAATGGCGGCGTACTCGAGTCTCCGCGTGCGGTCGCTGGTCCAGTAGTGCGTGGCCTGCGGCGGCAGCGGGGGCGCGAGCTCGGTGCATTCCTGGCTGTCCCGTTGCTGCGGGGGGTGGGAGTGACTACCCGGCGAGGAGAGCAGGAGCTGGCGCTGGTCGAGCTCGAAATCGTCACCACCGCCGCGGCGTGAGGGCCGACGGGCGGCGAGTTCGACGTCTGTTGGGTGCGCCGGGAAGTGGAAGAAGGTTGCTTGAGGTTGTGCGTGTGGGCGTTGGGGGTGGTAGAGGCTGCTTCCGCTGGTGCGTGCCGTCGTTGCCGGGTACGGGCTCGTCTTTGCTGCTCGGCGGACCGTCGGGCGGCCGCGGGAGCGGGGGGCGGCGCCGGCGGATGCGGTGCCTGGGTTGGAGGAGGACTGGGAGGAGGAGGCTGTTGATGTGCGGCGCGGGTTGGAGAAGGAGGACCGCGGGGGGAGAGACTCGTAGCCTGAGTCTTGCCGGCGCATTTCGGCGGGTTCGGGTTCCTTGTCCTTGTGCTGTTGCAGCGGGTGTGGTGGGAAGTGGTGGTAGTGTGAAGGAGCCGGCGCCGGGGCTCGGATCGGGGCCGAGGTCGGGGCGGGGACGGGGGTCTTTGAGGGCGGGGAGCTCGGGGCGTAGAGCTCTACGTCGTGGAAGCTTTGGTAGGCGCAGGTGTAGTACGTCGTGTCGGAGGCGGCGACGCTGGCGCGGGACTCGGTCCGGAAGATCATGTTGGAGGGGAAGGGTGAAAGGCGAGACATGATGTTTTGCGGGTTTTGATTTTTATCAACGTGTGAATATGTGTGTAGGTGTGCGTTTGTGCGTGGAGATACTCTCTCACGAAGGCTTCAAGCCAGGTCGAAAATGTTGTGTGACTAAAGGTAGTATATATGATGTTTGTGTGTAATAGAACTCGGAACGATAGAAAGTGAAATTCCTCGTCATGAAGCCATTGGAGGATTTCCCCCCTCACTTGATCGATCACGCTGAGCGACACGCGGCGAGACGAAGGGTGCGATAGCCGAGGTTGTTGCGCCTCTTCTTGTACTTTTGACGAGTTGGATAAATGTGATGCCGACCAGCGAGCTTTTAGGAACCAAGCTGCGAGCTGCGAAGGTCGAGGGATGAATCTCGCTTGCGGAAAGGCCTCCCAGGGGAATATGGGAAGGGGGAGGGGAGCAGGTTTATTATATTAAATAAACCCAGTTGACGAGATGATGAGAGAAAAAGGCGGAGATGAGGTGCGAGATTTGAACGGAGCGTATTGTGTGTGTGAAGTTGCGGTCAATAAACGAAAGGAGGACGAAGAAAACCTAGACCCCTCCGATGAGGGTCCCGCGTTTCTAGGTTCCTGTTGATCTGACGACAAAAGTGTCGGAGTGGACTCGTTGGAAGTCTGGTTCGTCTCTTCGGAAGCCCAAGGCCCCCTGTTCGTGCCCTTTTCGGTACAGGAGGAGAGTGGAAGTGTTGTTGTTTTGAAAGGCGGGAGATGCAGGTCCTTACAGGGCCAGAGGTGGACGATGCAACTATTGCGAATCGAGAACGGGTACAGGGCCTATTTTGTGTGGTGATCGTGAGGTCCTGGGCTGCTGGGTTCGATATACCCCGGTCGAGGGTGGCAGGGGGAGTTGTCGTCGTGGGCGGGCTAGAGGGCCGTGATTGGGTCAGGATGTTGCGGTGAGGCGCCGATGGGGTCTCGTGGTGCTGCAGCTGGGACCTGGGATGTCTTGCTGAGGAATGGAGGGGGATGTGGGATGTCTGGATGGGTGTATGGAGGCGGGCGGCGTTGGCAGCTGCTGGTTTGCCCGAAGCCCTCTCTCTCTCTCTCTCTCTCTCTCTCTCTCTCTCTTCTCAGTCTCGTTCAGCTAATAAGACTGTTGTTGATATTTCTTCTTCTTTGTTGCCCGCCAGGTCTTTCGCAGCGTGGGGTGATGGCAGGAGGGGATTCGTCCACAGAGGAGGGTGAGGGAGGGCGCGGGATGAGAATATGTAGGTACAGACACCGCCTCCAGAAGAAGCTTGATGGTATTTGGTTGGGTTGATCGTCGGTTATGCGTGGGTTGATGATGTGGCTGCTGCTATGCCTGCCAGGATGAGCTGCGAGGTTATCCCCCGGTACGGATTGGCTTTTCTTCTGTTGGCGTCGGTGGGTTAGGGGTGGTGCTTGTTGTTAAAGGTTGATTTATGCGGGAAGCCCACTGCGACGATTGAACAATGCCAATGTCTATCCGTATGTCAAGGTCGGAAAATGATGCTGGGCTGGCATGCGGAGCGGGTTGGAAGGGGTGAGGGATGTAATTCTCATAGATGGCTGGGAGGTTTATAGGGCGACAAGTAGCCGTACTGGGATCAAACGGGTAGAGAGAATGAGAGGGAGGTAATGCAGAGACCGCGTACGGGACACCACTAAGTCCTGACTGACGGTCTGAAGAGCAGCAATACAAGCCGGCGGCCAGAAGATCAGACGAGGAGGGGGTGGGGGGGGGTGAAGTCCAAAGTCGTGTGCTGCTGCGGGACGGGAGGGGGGGTAGTAGACAAGCTGCAGGTGCAGCAGGTGGCCAGGTGGGCGAGGGCGTTGTTGATGAGACGACAAGCCGCCGATGTCAAGAAACTCCAAGTTCTCGATCCGAGGTCCCAAGGCTGTCTCAATATGCATGTCTCAAGCCCACACAAGTGTAAGAGACAAGTTGCGCGAGTAAACTCGGCTGGGAAATACAGATCGAAGATGAACGAGCAGAAAGCGGTGCGGTGATATATCGGGTCAAAGAGTGAACATCGCCGAAGAGGCTCGACTCTGCAGGGCCTTTGCACAGTTTTTACCGGCACCAGGTCCCGATCGACTTTTCTTCAGACGCAAGTTTCTTTTGACAAGAGAGCGAGAGAAAACCGATGAGGGTAGAAGCCTGCACACAGTCTACATAGAAGAGGGGGAGGGGGAGGGGGAGCAGAGGCCAAAGGACAGGAAGCAGAGGGAAAAAGGCCTTTCGTGTCGCAGAGTTTCGAAACTTGAGACGATGATGTAGTCGCCCGGCGATGCGCTACACGCTAAATGATAATCCCAGCGATAAAAACCGCTTCTTTGGGACGAGATGAGAGCGGTACCTCAACTTTGACGGTTTATCCGTAGAAGCAGCGTGAAGGCGAGCCACCAGCGAGTGACCACCGCGCGCCGGACTGGAGTCGAGTCGAGTCTAGAACCTCTGGGCGTTGTGTTGCCTTCAGGCCTCTTGACGCAACACGGTGGAGATGATCAAGATGGGGGAGGCGAGTCACAGTGAGTGGGCACTGAGAATGGGAAACAGTAACACAAGAGAGACACAGGATATCCACTTTCAGTATGCAGGTGGTGGTAGTTTTTCTCTCTCGCCCGCTGTTGGCGGGAGGCGTTGCGCTTTACGGATAGAGGATTTTGCGTTGATCTTTCACGTTGTCGTCTCAAGTTGCGTTGCGGCGCCTCTTTTTCATGCAGCTAACGTTCTTTCGGGGTGAGAGGAGAGAAGACTAAGAGAGGCTCAGAGGGGGTGCCGGGTGTGTATGTGTGTGTATGTGTGTGTGTGTGTGTGTTATGGTTCGTGTAGTGTACCTTTGAGGACTGTACTCGGCCTTTATCCGTAAGAGGAACAGTTCAGGATCGTAGAGTCGGCCCTGAATTTATTGTGTCCGTACTATGTATCCGTACCTATGATGGGCATCATGCGCGTGGTTGCGTGCAAGTGAGAAACTGCGTATGCGAGGCGGCGGATCGTGGGATGGATACCTGGCTCCCAGGGGAGGGTTGTAGGCCTGAATTGCGTAAGGTGCTGATTTTGTTGCAGGAAAAGCTCAACGACGGCCGAGAGGGGGATTAAAAGCCTCCCAAGCCTCCCAGTTGGAGTAGCGGTGACGCACAAGTGGACGCGTGTGGGATGAGATGGGTAGAGTTGGGAATCGGCATGATGAGATTGAGGGGGAAATGAAGGATGCGAGAAAAGTGAGTACTTGAAGATGAGACGAGAGTGAAAGAGAACTGTAGTCACTGAAAGAGGGTGTATTGAATGTGAGTTTGTGTTGTATGTGTGCGTGTGTGTGTGTGTGTGTGTGTGTGTGTGTGACTGAGAGAGGGCATTCAAAGGCCTGACAGAAAAGCTACGAGACGAGAATGGCCCGGCGGCACGGTGTTGATATCTCTCCACCTTTGATGCGCTGTTCGACGGCTCGTGGAGATGGAATGAGGGCTAGCTCATTCACACTATTGAAGAGACGATTTGGGAGCTTAAGACGGCCGGAGAGCAGCCCGAGAGTTTAAGTCGCGGCGACTAACACAGGTAGGAAGCGGCGATGCTCCTCTAGCTTCATTCTGCTGCGTGAATTGACGGGCGGGAATGGGATGGCGGGCCTTGGATATCGTCAAGTCACGTCAGTGAGCATACCTACCGTAACTCTTCTCTACCTGAGGACGAGGCACTCCGGCCGGCGTGAGCTTCGGCTCTTCTCTTTGACGAATGCAGTCGCTGAACAATGAAAGCTGGGCGTCCTCGGCTGGCGCGACTATTAATGTTTTGTTGGTATTAATTAACAGCAACCGTCTCGTTTCCTTTCTTCTGACGTTTCGATCCACCCGCTAGCTCGTCGCTCTTGACAGTGACAAGCACGACGTTTTGACTCTCGGTACCTTGCGTACGGCGTCTCGACTCTCTTTGAATAGTTTGGTCGCGCATTCGCGGCCAAGAACGATGAAAAGAGAGTCAAGGCGAGACGCTGTGGGTTGGTGGTGCAGGCGGCAAGGCTCCCCCCCCCCCTTGTCAAGAAGTCTAGAGTTCCCACGGCGGCCCCTCACTGGGATTCTTCCCGCGCAACCGCCGATGTCGCTAGAGCGCTGGACAAGGTCCAGGCATGGAGTTCTGGCGGAGTTGGTGGGGTGTGGAGTGGAAGAATGAGTCGAGCGTTGTGTGTGTGTGTGTGTGTGTGTGTGTGTGTGTGTGTGTGTGTGTGTGTGTCACTGTGTTGCGCCTTCACCCCTCCCTCTGGGTTTGCTTTGCTTTCCTGGGGATTTTCGTGAAGGAGGGGCAGAATATTGCGAAATCTCCTGCGAAGAGGGCTTGGTTAGGGCTGATCTCTCGGTGAAAGGTTGTAATGCTCAATGAGACTGAGTGAGTCCGATGCCAGTGAGCATGAACGAATGAACTATGAGGGTTGTCATTCACCCAACCCCCATCATCATGCGTCTCTCCGTAAAAGGCAATATGAGTAGCACTTACGGCGTAGGCTTCACGAGACGACAAGGTGGTATCGCGAGGATCACGTATCACAAGCCAAAATAACATGCCTGTTGATGAGTGTAGGAGGAACATTGATGTCAAGGAAATAGTCACCTGAGTGAATGCGCAGTGCATCCCCAGCTGGAGGCACCCGCAGAGGCAGAGCTGGTGTAAGACTAGTTAGCACAAGTGTCGTTCGTCTCCCGGCTCGATCTCGACTCTTGAGCGCGTCTCTTGACGGACGAGAGGACGATCACCACGTTGCCAAAGCCTCACATCATTGGACGGGTTGCTATTTCCGTTGCAAGATTCGGCGGGCTTGTCATTCGCGGCGCAGTTGATGGCACTGCTCTGTGCTTTTGGTGGTTGAGACAGGCAGTCCCTGATCTCCTTTTCACATGTCAGACTCATCCTCCATTCACACGCGCATTCACTCACACCCTCACCCTCACCCTCACCCTCACACCAACCAATTGTCACTCACACGCATCTTTGGCTTCTGCTAGAGTCAATTGACCCATGGATTGGACGCCGTCGCATCGTCCCTGATTCACACCAGCCCAATCATCGCCTATCGCGTCAACCAGTGTGCCGCCTGCTGCGACCCGACGTGCCGACCCAGGAGGAGGTCACCCAGCGGTCATCGTACATACCCGACCCCGTGGACAGCGATTCGCTTCTCGCGTACATGAATCCATCCATCCATCCCATCCCATCTCACTATCATTATCGATGGATGGATGGGTACCTAGATTGCCGTCTCTCTCTCGCGGGCCTGAAATACGATAGCCTACAGGTGCTCATCTGTCTACATGTATGGCCAAGAGCTTACAAGAGGTGTGCTCCTCACATGGCGAAGCTTTAATGCCAGCCCCAATAATGTGATGAGAGGATTGCGTGAGTCCTCCGCGAACGAACGCAGCTTTGCTCAGCCACCGCACGTTGAAGCTATATCAATGCCGACCAACCTTAACCACTGTCGTCCAACTGCACTGTTTCCAAACGGTCCCGTCAGCACCAATCATCACACGAGGAAATCCCAAATTCGCAATCAGGTCGTTGGTCTCCTTCTTCGTCCGACCCTCCATTCCGTACGGGTTCACGAACGCGGGACCACAGCCACCTACGATCCACACACCCCATTCAGACTTTTGTCACTTCCTTCAGGAAGCCACCAGCCCCAGAACTGGCAATGATCCACAAGCCCCCACGAGGTCACCCTCGCTGTGACTGGGACTGGACCGGCCAGACTGGGCTTGAACGGCCTTGCGCGAACCAGGCCGGGCCAGCCAGGCTTCACAGCCGCCTGGCCCTGCCGTCTTGAGACATACGTTCTATTTCCGACTGGCTGTCGCAAATACTACTGCGGCTACTACTTCGTAGGCACTGTAAACTAGGTACTGCTGCTGCTGTGTGCTCTGGCGATTCGGACTATTACCGACAGCATGTGGCTGCCAAGGCTGCGTGTCACCAGCGCACCGCAAAGACATTGACGACGCCAGAATCACAGGCTGCCGAGATGCCTCCCGTTCTAAAGTTGCTTTCTTCCACATTCCAGAGGAACTGACCCTGCTGCCCCTCTAGTAGAGTCTGGACTCTGGAGTTTTGCCCTATCTGACCCCCATCCGACCCCCCGTCGATGAGATCAATCTCCCCTCCAAGCTCTCAGCCGGGTCCGCATGCCTCTTTGAGCACGCCGTGGACCTCTGCTGGGATGATCGCTGTCAGCACCCTATCCTCCCCGTGCGGGGCGGGAATGGGGAAGGACATCGGTACGGATAGATGAGCAAATCGTGGGATTTTAGGCCCCTCCCTTTCCCGTCCACTGCCGAGATCTCCCTGGACTGTAATTATTGATTGCTTCTTGTTGCTGACCACCAAGTCCGATGAATGTTACTTCACGGAAATGCTTCAGTGAGTCTGCGCTACTACACCCGACAAGCCACGAGATCACCCGTGCGTGCCGTGCGGCAAGATGGGAGCGGGCTACGGCCTACGAGGCGTGTGTCACGTAACTGTCACCCCGAGGTTCTGGTGCTCGCCTAGGCATTTGAATTCTCTTCCTTTTCATCTGCTCTTCGGCATCCGCGTACTTTTGCTGGACGCACGGAAAAGAAAGAGAATGTTCGCGCTGTGTCCCTCTGTCTCAAAGTATTCGACCCTGAAGTTTGAATGGTGGTAGTCGCACAGATTCACGGCCTGGCCGTGTCAATCCCCGTCACACCGTAGCATCACAGAGCAAGAGGACTGCGTTCGAACTTTGCAACGCAGAATGGGGACCTCGGCCGCTGCTGTTTGTCTCAGCCGTGCCGTCGTAACCATTCAAACCCCCCCTCGAGACAGAAGCCTTCGCCAAATCACCTGTCCGCGCCATCACGCACGTATGATCGGTTGATCCCACAGCCAAAGTACCCCGAACAAGACCGATGAAGGGACAAAACATGACGCAAACAAGTGATGAATTTCCTTGTCCGAAGTATCATCTCTAGGTTCATGTCAACGTGCCGTACGTCCCGTTTCCTAACAGCGGATGTCCCGGCATGCCAAGACGATCGCAATTCCGCGTGAAGTGAACACACACATTGAGCGGCCGCGCCGTCGTCTGTAGACTCGGGATTTCGGATGACTTGTTTGCCATCGTTAATGCGTCGCTCACACGGTCCACGAACACGACCAAGCGGAGACCCAAGTAAAGTAGGTAGGCCATGACCCGAAAACTCCGTGAGGCTAAATCAGCTCAAAATCCGACTTTCCCTTGCCGCCTCATTCGTGTGCCCATTAGGCTCAGACCGAGATCATGCTTGCTGGGCCCATTACGTTTTCCTGCACATCCTCTGCGTGCCCTGTCCCAGTCCCAGTCTCAATGTTGGCTAACGTGAGCCTCTAACCTCTCACGCCATGACATTGTCCTATGGATAGCGCTCACTTCTCCTGTCCTAAGAGTAGGTGGTCATCTTGAAGAGGCATGCCGCTGGCCCGAAAAGACCTCGGGACGGATCATAAGCTGCATACATGTCGTACCTATGTGACTAACTGACGGCACGAGCTATCGCCGTTATCACAAGCAAGACACGCTATTCTTCCTGTAGCCATCAGTCAGATGCCACCGCCCATCGCAGCGCCCCAACTCCCCCTTCCACACGGCCCCTCTCCCACGACAACATGCTCCGGCGCCGCGTCCCCGGCAAACGGCACCTGCACCAGCACCGTCGGCTCGTCATCGGGAAACTCGGTAAAGTGCCCCGCGTGCACGCTCACGTTCTTCAAGTCTGCCGCGATGACGAGCGACGAGGATACTGTGCCCGGCTGGATGTACGCCGTCGTCTGCGCCGGAGGTGCTGCCGATGCGTCGTCGTCGTCGCCACTGCTGCTGCCGCTTCCGGGTGACGGGGGTGACGGCGTGGCCTGCGACGCGTTCCTTGGCGGTGCTGGCGATGTGATGCGGATGAGACCGTTGAGGACGACTGTCAGCCTGCGGTTGCGGGGATCAAGTTAGTTTGCGAGTTTTCAGTAACGAGAAAGCTTGACGTCAGGGTACGCAGTCAGGTCTCCCTTGTTCCTTGTCCATCAAGTTTCGAAGAACTCAACAAAAAAAGGAAGATGAGAAGAAGCTCGGTCGTCTCATGAACAGGGAACTTCCTCCCCTACAGTTGAGGTAGCTATAGAGAGAGGCACGAAAGCAAAGAAAGAAGCTTACTGCACAGCCGGCGCCCAAGCCTCTCCGACCGTCGTTCTGGGCTGGATGATGGACCACTCTGCGCGCGTGAGATCGCCGCCGAGGGCGTAGTTGAGAGCCGCGCGGGCTTCGACGGGGACGGAGGTGAGTTGCCAGCATTCGATGACGGAGTAGCCGTCGCGGGTTGAGAGTGCCGTGATGTTGAGCGGGGTGAAGGCTTCGACCGCAGTTGCGAGGGCTGCACCCAGGGCTGCGAGTCTGAGGATGCGCATGACTGCGATCTATCACCATCTATCGTTCTGGATTTTAAGGTGCCGCTTGAGAGAATCAGACCTGGGACGTAGTTATGAAGAGAAGATGAGACCTGAAGATAGCTTTGAATCCTACGTGGTTGGTGATGTGGCTTTCGGATGTCCGAATGCCCTAGCATGCGCCTTGCCGCTCTTCGTGGCGCACAATGGCTGGGAATCCGTTCCAAGACCTTCCTGCTAGAGGGGTTTTACTGTGACTGGCAGCGCTTATGGGAATGTGTCTTACTTCAACGGCTGGCCTTGAACTTCCAAGTCTCTGGGAGCTGCCGAACAGCCGCAGCGTTCCTGAAGATCATCTTGGGGTAGAGTTTGCAATGTTGAACTCTCTTCTCCTCGGGTGATTTTGATTGAAATGCTTGAATAAACTCAATGAACCCCTCATCGTGAGATCTGTAGATGCTCCAGAAAACCCCAGCTCCTCAATATCGTGCTAACATCTCTGCGCGCAAACTTGTTCGGAATGTAGGTAGGTATAGTAATCAATTTCTCTCGTGGTCATGATATCCAGACAAACAACAAGAAACAAATGCCTTATTTACAATATGCCAAACGCCAAATATGAGTCCAAACGTGGTATATCAAACCTCCCAAAAATCACCACTGCGTCTCCATCCACCTAACCATCCTCTCGACAAGCCCGCTCCCAACAACATGCCACCCATCCCCGACAGCAGCGCTCCTCGCGCCCGTCCTCTCCGTCTCAAACACGAGGCCCTGACGACCAGGCCTATCATTATCGTACTTGTCCTCAAAGAAGCCCAGCAGCTTGTACGTCGGGTTCCGCTCCGGGTCCGGGTCGGACTCGCGCAGGCGGCGCACCCACTCGCGCTGCGAGACGATTTGGAACTCGAGACCCGCGTCGCGGAGAGCGTGCAGGAAATCAAAGGTCCAGTGGAATAGGCGCGGGTTCTGGACCTGGTAGACGAGGTCCAGGTCCGCGTCATCGGGGGACGACGGCGGCGCGCCGCAGGATGTGCAGCGCGGGCCGGTGAGGCGCGCGAGCTCGAGGACGGCGAGGGCCATCTTGTCTGCTGGCATCCACGAGGGGGTCTGTATGAGGGTATTGTTAGCTTTCTATTAATTCTCTTGTAATCGCTCTGTATGTCATGATGAAGAAGCTTACCTCTTCCAGCGCAGGCAACGCCTTGATCACCTTTGCGCTGCGAATCATCAACGGGATCGCCTCCGTCTGATTCCACACGCCGCCCTCGGAATCGCCAACAATCTGTCCCAGCCTCAGCACCCTCGCCGTCATGCCGGTCTTGGTCGCCGCGGCCTTGACAACATGCTCCGTAACGACCTTGGACCGCGCATAGCCCATGTTCTGCGCGTGCTCCAGGTTCTCGACGTACGTCTCCCTGACTCTCGCCGGGATAGGCGTGCCCGCCGCCGCCGAGATGGACGAGCAGAAGAACAACCGCGCGGGCGCGATCGTCTCAGTGCTGAGGCAGAAGTTGAGCAGGTTATGCACGCCGCGAATGTGCTGCGCCTCGAAGCTCGCGACGCCGAGGTTGAAGTTGACGGCCCAGGCCGAGTGGATCACCGTCGTCAGGGACTTGCGGAGCTCGGCGGCGGCGTCGGCGGGGAGACCTAGGTCCGGGAGGCCGAGGTTTGTCGGGAGGTAGCGCACCTTGGCCTTGTCGGTTTCGGAGAGGCTGAGGCCCTTGGGGGTTAGAGAGGCGAGGACGCGGGACTCGGCTTCTTCGGGCGAGGCGGCGCGCGCGAGGCAGTAGACTGTCTTTACGTAGGGTTGGCGGACGACTTGAGCGAGGAGGTGTGCGCCGAGGGAGCCCGTTGCGCCGGTGAGGACGACGGTCTCGCCTTCGGGGGTGATGGTGCCCGGCTTGCGCTCGGAAAAGTCAGAGTACTTTGCAATGAGCTTCCTCATCACCTCGATCTCGTCCTCGGCGTCGACGGATTCGCCCGTGCGGAGCGCGTAGACGTGCTTGGACAGGGAGAGGACGTTGGGGTACTCAAAGACGACGTTCTGGCCTAGGGTCTTGCCGCCGAGGTCGACGCCGCGCTGGATGTGGCCGCGCGCGGTGTTGGCCTGGAGACTGTCGACGCCGGCCTCGAAGAAGTCGGTATCCTTTTCGACCTTTATGAAGCCTAGAGTCGAGCGGAAGAGATTGAGGAGGTAGTCTTGGAGCTGCGGCAGGTCGAGGGTCAGCAGCTCGCCTCCGGCGACGTCGTCTTTGGGCGCCTCGAAGCGTCTGTAAACGTCCTCGATGAGGTCTGCGAATTGCTTATAAAAGCCGGCGCGGATGACGGTGCCCTTATCGGTACGGGGGTATTCTGTGCCAATATCTACCACCTCAATCATCTCCGGGGAAACGCGGCCAAAGGCCTCGGCTCGGGTGTTGGCTTCATCGATGACGGGGCTCAATGTCTTGAGGATCTCCTCCTTGGACAGGCCCTTTGCATTGTCGCTGGGGATGACTACGAGACCGGGGATGGACTTGTCTACGCCAAAGACGACGACCTCCTGGACTAGTTCGTGTTCGCGGATGTGGTTCTCGTAGGGGATGGGCAGGACTTTTTCGCCGTTCACCAGGGTTACACGGTCATCGAGACGGCCGAGGTACCTCCAGGCATCTGGGATCGTGGGGTGAGGAACGAAGGTGTCGCGGGTGCGGTAAGAGTTAGGAGCCGGGTCGTCCGAGTTGGACATGACTTTTGAGGGAAGACCGTCGAGAACGACGCACTCGTGAACGTCGCCTGCGATGGGAATCATACGCAGCCACGGCTTGGCAGAGGCCAAGGGCCGCATGTAGTTCCAGTACTTGTCCCCGGGCTCACGGAACGAGGTCATGAGCTGGCCCATCTCGGTGCTGTGTAACAGTTAGTAAGAGCAACTCATGGGAATCTGAAGTTAAAGAAACTTACGCTCCATAGTGCCCGACGAGATACACGCCCGCTTCGACGAGTCGATCACCCAAGTCATCAGGGCAACTGCTGCCGCCGTACAACACAAGCTTGAGTCTCTGCAGCGCCTCGATACCTCCCTCCGTCTCCGCGAGAAGCTTCAAGGCATAGGGCACGCAGTGCAAGCTGCCTGGCTCCGTGGCGTTCATAGCCTTGACCAGTGTGGTTCCAGAAAGGGGCAGGTTGGCATTATAGATGGCGATTCTGTGACCGGCAACAATGGCACGGAACAGCGTCGAGATTCCATGGTTGTGGAAAAGCGGCAGGGTCAGGAAGGCGCGGTAAGGAATTCCGCTTGAGTAGTTTGAGATGCAAGCCGCGTGCGTCTGGAAGATGGGCTTGGGGAGACCGGTCGAGCCGGACGAGTGCACGATGAAGGAGATGCGCTTGCCGGCGTCGGGGTGCGTGAAGACGGGGAAGCGGTCGCCCGAAGGACTCGGGAGGTCGTAGTCGGCCTTGTCGAGGATGCTGAATGTGGTGATGGGTGACTCGGCGTTGATCTGGGCCGCCATGTCGCTGTACCGTTCCGAGATGACGATTCTGCTGCAGTTTGTCTTTTCGAGGAGATTGGAGTAGGCCTCTGGCGAGAGACGTGTTGACAGGTAGAGCACGGCGAAGCCCATCCTTGAGAGGGCGAACATGGAGACAACATAGTTGATGTCTGAGTTTGCTAGGAGGGCGACGACCTCTGCTTGGTTTGATGAAGGGTTCTAGGGGTTGTCAGTCTGTGTGGCTCTTCGTTATGGACAAGGAGCTTGCTCGGTGGAGCGGTGTGACTCGGTGAGTCTACATACCTCTGGGAGAAGACCGGCCTGGACATATTTGCGCGCCGCCTCGTCGGCGAACCGATCGAGGTCCTTGGCTGTGTAGTTGACATAGTCGTCTCTGCCGCGCGCCGTAGCGGGGTAGGCTAGGACATCGACATCTGGTGCTTCGTCCACGCGCTTCAGAAGCAAGTCTGTGACGGTCTTGAGCTCAATAGGCTTGACGGTCTCCACGATCTCGACAGTGGGCTTCTCAGACGTGAGGATTGACCGCGGAATCACGCCTTCCGTATGGATAGCCATGTTGAAGAGGGTGCCACGATTTGGGCGGTTATGATAGATGGGGAAGAAGGAATGAGTAGGCAGTTAGATAGATATGTATGGAAAAAAACGACGAAAAATGTTTGACTTTGAGCGAGTGTCACGCTTGATATGGTTCTTCACATCTACTAACCAAAGTCTTTGGCTAATTCATCCGCCAGTGAGCAATGACATGAAATGTTCTTTTGGAAAAGGTTTGGAAAGCCTATTATCTTAATCATCCATCCAAACTAGTCCCATCCAGATCACACCCGCAACCATATCCATGTACGAACAGGCCGGGTTTCTCTTCTCCAACAATTCCGTCCGTCCACTAGGCTCGCTCGCCCACCCTACCCTCCATTCCAGCCTTCTTTTTCCTACCTTACTACCACTGTATTACCGTATTACCGTACTGCCGTACCTTTTCCCACCCCTTACAGTGGCGACGACCGCAGACGCAGCCAGCCGTTTCCTCTCCTTCCCAGTGGCCCAGCCAGCCCGGCGGCAAGGTCACGAGTTGCGTGCCGAGACAACCGGGACGGAAAAGCCACTTACACAAGGTGAGGGGACACGGAAAAGCAACAACGGCAAACAGGCCGGGATGCACGGACCACTTCTCCGGTGTGAGGTGCCGGCCGGTGGGATGTCCGTCGTTTCCATGGTTCCCTGGTTTGCTTCGGGACGGGATCTCGTAGTAGTATATCCGACTGACGGGAACTGTGTGAGCTTTGAGGAAGTCGGAGGAGCATTGCCAAGGAGAGGAACACGCGGGGGAGACGCGGGGTGTCGGACGATTCTGGGTGAAGGAGTCTGCTATGGCGGGGTAATGAGGGATGTTTATTATGAGAGACGTCCATGAGATGGTAGTTTCTTCGACGTCTGGTAGAAGCTTGAGACAGTCCACGTATTTCGAAAGAATAATTCACACGCTCAGCCTGTATCAATATGTCGAAACACTTCTATGATGAAGCCGAGGACCTCGTTCTCGATGCCCTCGAGAGCTTGGTGCTGCAGAATTCTGGCCTGACTTTGGACAAGTCAAAGAAGAGTGAGTTCAGCTATATCCCCAGCCGTGTTCCAACCAGCATTGAAA